CCATGGACATTGCGCAAAAGCATGCGGCTTCTGAGCAGCAGCACCAAGCTACTCAATACAACAAACGTGTCAAGGGAACTTACCTGTCAGTGGGTGATCGTGTTTTAGTCGCAAATAAAGGGGAAAGAGGAAAAAGGAAACTTGCCGATAAGTGGGAAGACAAAGTGTACACTGTTGTTGATGCGAACCCCAACATTCATGTTTACAGAATCAGTGATGCGGATGGCCACTCAAAAGTTGTACACAGGAATCTTTTGCTGAATGTAAACTTCCTGCCACTTCCTGTCATACCTGATGATGAGCCCAATGACACTGACCGATCTCTATTCAATGACGATTCCCTCATGGACAATTTGAACAATGACTCTTTTGAATCCATGTCCAATGATGCTTTTGCTGCTTTGCCTGATTTAGGGCAGTCAGTTTGTGTTGACTTGGTTCTTCCCAGTTCCCCCCATGACTGTCTAGCTGACCCATTTTCACCTGACCATGACTCTGTTGCTGACTCACATTCAGTGGCTTCGGGTTCCACTGGCCCCGATGCGAGCACAGGGGACAGTACCCGAGTAAGGACTCGTGCAGGGAGGTTAGTGAAATCAGTGAACAGGTTGATTGAGTCTATGGTTCATGTACCTTATTTCAGAAACCGACCTGGTTTATTCAGTGACTAGCCTCAGTCTGTTTTTGTAGCCTGAGAGATCTTTGGTTGTACTGTTGATTTCTGCTGATGCCGTTGGCTGCATTTTCCTTGACAAGTGTCTATGAGAAGCATTTATGGGTCCAGGCATTGTGTGGTGTACACGGCACTGCATTTACCTGAGGGAATATTGAGACTTGATCACCCTTTTTATTTCCTGAATCTTGTGTGCAAGGTAACTTTTCAGTTGGGTCATGGACTTGGTCCGTGAATTGCTTGTGACAGATTGCTGTGGTAGACATTCCCCCCCCCCCGAGGTCCTGTGTAGACTACGTTCAGGATGTTGGTGAATTTCAGGAGGGGTGATTGTAACCAAGGAGAAATGTATTTTTGTTTTATTTTGAATTTCACCAAATCCTTCACTTTAATTAAATTTCCATTGGTATTGTGTGGTTTTAGGCATGGTTTAGCCTCTTTCCCAATGTTATTATTATGTTATTAAGAGTTGCACATTTTGCCTGTACTGTCCCTTTAAGAGCAACGTGGTTTGCGTGCTGCACATGTGCACCTCTCTCAGTCTGTACAATGCTACTGAGGAGGTGAGCACAAGTTTTAAAATATAAAAGTTCATTGTTAATATAATTACTGATAATCTACAAATCCACATGTACAAGTTGGACCATGTTGGAGCGGTCTCATGTCTATTGTTTAAAATTTACTGTAGTTACATGTAGTTGAGAGCTAGCTTCAGCCTTCTCCATGTGTTTTCTTGCTAACAGGGGACTGATGAGCTGCGTGCATGGAGAAAACATGTGACAGAGATTTGTATTTTTCTTTCATTTGTGCAGGTATGTGCATTGTGTTTAAGATGTCAATAGATTGTTATGGAACATTTAAAAATATTATAATTCATATTTATTTTATGTTAAAAAAAAATTGTTAAAATGTTTAGGCACATGTGCACCTTTCTCAGTCTGTACAATGCTACTGAGGAGGGGACTGATGAGCTGCGTGCATGGAGAAAACATGTGACAGAGATTTGTATTTTTCTTTCATTTGTGCAGAACCACCAGTAAACGTGGTATCCAGTATCCATTGGTCACCAGTGTCTCATGGTCCTTCCTTCAACCAGCGCAGTACACAGGGACACAACGCAGATATAATTAAGGGTTAACGGATGTGCACCAAAATATTAGACTGTTAATGACCAGATGCGCACCGTACAGGGAAAGCACATGGAGGACATAACAAGTGCGGCAGGGTCAAAAAATGCGAGTATCTGAAACCCATCATGTCATCAAAGAAAAGGCAAATCTGTCGACTTCAGCGCGACAGTGATAAAACAGCTGTGTGGTGGATAAAACAGAGCAGAGCCGTGGTGGTTGACATCGCAATACCAAGCGATGGTAATATAGGAAAAAGAACACGAGAACTAGAGAAATACCAGGGCTCAAGAAGAGCTGGAGAGAGCCTGGAAAGTAAAGGCATCAGTGGTGCCTGTGGTGATCGGAGCGCTCGGGCTGTAACCCCAAACTGGAAGAGTGGCTACAACAGATACCGGGAAAAACAACGACATCTAGTCCAGAAAAGTGCAGTACTGGAACAGCAAAGATACTGCGCAGAACTCTCAAGCTCCCAGGCCTCTGTAGAGGACCCGAGCTGATGAGGTGAGAGAGACCTACCACCGTGGAAGGTAAACACATTTTTTTTTTTTTTTTTTTTATATATATTATATGTATATCAGCGGTCTTGCTGCAGTTGTGTTTTTTTTATATGCTCAGAAATTCATAAAAACAAGGTCGGAATATAAAGGGATTAATGGGAATTTACTCTTTTTTTCCCCAAATACAAATATTATTTTGACCATGGCCTCACAAGCTGCCAAGAAAGATGTCACTGTCCACAGTCCAAAACCTAGGTCCTGTATGACGCAATATTTTGTTTTCAAGTTAACATCTACTGTTTGCCTTTTAGTCAGTTTGGGTGTTTGGTAATAATAAAATTGTTAAAAGAGAGTATAATTAAGAGAAAATTGTCACTTGGGTAATTTTCAATCACCTTTTTTCTGTATTTTGGCTGAGGAATGACAATAAATTCTGCTTTTTACTGTTCAAATTGCTACAAAATAGGGACACCTGGGACATGTCTTGGATAAAACTGGGACAAATCAATGGTTTTAGATAAATCTGCTGGGACAGAGGACACAGGGATTAAAACTGGGACTGTCCTGGGTCAATAGGGACGTGTGGTCACCTTAGTTGTGTAACATGTGAGGAAATAACATTATAACATAGTTGAGAAAATCTGTATAAAATCTATCTGTAGTGAAGATTTGTAAACGAAAAGTAATAAACAAAAGCGGTGAGCAAACTTAGAACTAAACATAACTCAAATAATCACCTTTGGGGCACTGTGTGGATGTGGTTTACGCAGTGAAACAGTAAAACAAACTCTGTCCAGATCCAGAGCTGCATTTTACAAGATGTATTCCAAGTTTTGCAGGCAAACAACACCTGCACCTGCACCTGCTGCTTCTCCTGCCGACTGGTAAAAACCACCCAGGTGCACTCTGGTCCGGCTGAACCACCCACATTTATCCCCCTAGCTGCCCCCACGGTTTAAATAAAACAGAAAAGGTGCTAAGCAATTTAACAAACACCACAGAGCAAAAATAAATTATGCAAATTAACCAAAATGAGGAAATTAAGGAAAACTGTTATGCACTTGGTCCATCTGGTGTAAAAATGGGTAATTTTCAAGCACCTTCTTCTGTATTTTGGCTGAAAAATGACAATAAATTCCCTTTTTTGCTTTTGGCGGGAATCAGATTGGTACAAAATAGGGACACCTGGGACAAGTCTTGTATAGAAGTGGGACAAATCAATGGTTTTGACCACCCACATTTATCCCCTAGGCCCCCCACGGACTAAACAAAAAACAGAAAAGGTGCTAAGATCGTGTGACCAGACGTCCCTATTTACCCGGGACAGTCCCAGTTTTGAGCCCTATGTCCCCTGTCCCAGCAGATTTATACAAAAATCATGATTTGTTCCAGTTTTATACAAGAATTGTCCCAGGTGTGCCTATCTGATCGCTGCCAACAGTAAAGAGAGGTAGAAATTGACATTAGTTGAGGTAAAATACAGAAAAGCTGCTTAAAAACGACCAAAACATAAAGAAAATGTGACTATACTGACTCACATGTTTGTCATGAATGGGCCGAGTACAGAACAATTTTCCTTAATTGCGCACTTGATTCACAATTTTATATATTTTATTACCAACCACCACAAACAGAGAGTGTCCCAGTTTTTTTATTTTGAAAATCTGGTCAACCTATGCTAAGATAAATAATAACAAATTAGACTTAAACTATTTAAACTAAACATCATGGCAAAAACATTTATTATGCTAACTAACCAAAATAAAATGAAAAACTTATGAATAAACAAAAATAATATAAACAAAAAATAATAAACACATTTTAGAAAAAAAAAAAAAAAAAAAAAAAAGCAAAAAATAAATCCTACATTTTTAATATTCAGTGTTGGGGAGTAACAGATTACAAGTACCAGAGTTATGTAATCAGAGTACAAATGATGAGTAACTGTATTCAGTTACAGTTACTGTTTCAGTGAGTGGTAATTGGATTACAGTTACTTTGTTGAAATAAATGGATTACACAGAGGGATTTTCCTGTTTTCACATTTTGGGCTATATCCCTTTTTTTTCTTTCGTTTTTTTTTTTTCTTCTATGTAATCAAGTCTAAACCAGGATTAAACCAGGTCTAAACCAGGACTAAACTAGATCTAAACCAGGTCTAAACCAGGACTAAAACTAGGTCTAAACCAGGACTGAAATCAGGACTAAACCAGGTCTAAACTAGATCTAAACCAGGTCTAAACTAGATCTAAACCAGGTCTAAACTAGATATAAACCAGGGCTAAAACCAGGACTAAACCAGGACTAAATCAGGACTAAAACAGGATTTAACAGGACTAAATCCTGCTGTGTGGATGTGTTTCTTCGTCTTGTATCAATATTATTTTTAATTTGGTTAAGTAAAGTCTGAAAATCTGAACTTTTTATTTTCTTTTATCAGACAAAACTTCTTATGTCAGATCCTCGTCTTTGTTTCTCTACAACAAATCAAGTAATCCAAAGTATTCAGATTACATTACTCACTTTAAGTAATTTAATGGATTACGTTACAAACTACATTTTGGGGGATGTAATCTGTAATCTGTAGGGGATTACATTTTAAAAGTCACCTTCCCAACACTGTTAATAAAAATGTGGAGGCAGGTTTTGTTTACTTCAGACAAACTCTCTCTTTTTCTCGCGATACTTGGTGAGGTTTTACGTAAAGCGTCATGGCGGCCCGCTGCGGCAGAGCGTTGGTTAAGGTCGGCTGGACTTTCCTGGCCTCCCCGCGGTCTCTCCGGGCCGGAACCGGGGCCAGGCTCGCGGGGAACCGGGCCTACGGTACCGGGAGCTCCGGGGCGCGGGCGGGGCTGGCTCTGTCTGCCCGGACGGCGGCCACGGGAGGCGGACTGCTCGGCGCGTTTCTGCTCGGAGGAGGACTGGGACTTTACCGCACAGTGAAACAGCGACAACAAGAGCACCATGCACAAGAACAAGAGACAGGACAGGTCTGGAAATACTGCAGAAGTATTCGTGTTATTATTTACCATGCACAAGAACAAGAGACAGGACAGGTCTGGAAATACTGCAGAAGTATTCGTGTTATTATTTACCATGCACAAGAACAAGAGACAGGACAGGTCTGGAAATACTGCAGAAGTATTCGTGTTATTATTTACCATGCACAAGAACAAGAGACAGGACAGGTCTGGAAATACTGTATTACAAGGATTTATAACTGCAATTGATATTTTGTGAAGAGCAGTCAGGACAGGTCTCGATTGTGCATGGGAAAACATTAGAAGTTTTCATAAGTGTAATTCATATTTTGTGTAGGGTGACCAGATTTTCAAAATGAAAAACGTGGACATCCCCATTTGGGGTGGTTGGTAATAATACAATTGTGGAATGAGTGCGTAACTGAATGCTGCTAAAACTTATTTCTACTCCGTGATTATTTCTCCCATAGTTTATCCTTTAACCACTTGGTCTCTTGCCCCACAACACTTAAAACCATTGAAACCTCTATAAAAGAGGCACAGGCTTTTGGACTTTAGCGACATGATCGACCTTTAAAGAGTTTGTCTAATTTAAGTTCTGCACTCCCTCGCATCAGCACTGTTAAAGGAGGATGTCAGATGCAAAGACATTTGAGAAAGAACCACACGAGCCATCGCCAGGGGAGACCTGGTCAAACCCACAGACAGAACAGCTTTGGTCACAATGTTTTATCTGTCCAAGGTGGAATCTGTGGAACAGTCTCCACTAACACTGAGAGAGTGTCGTACAGCTCTGACACTGAGAGAGTGTCGTACAGCTCTAACACTGAGAGAGTGTCGTACAGCTCTGACACTGAGAGAGTGTCGTACAGCTCTGACACTGAGAGAGTGTCGTACAGCTCTAACACTGAGAGAGTGTCGTAACCGCTCTGACACTGAGAGAGAGTGTCGTACAGCTCTAACACTGAGAGAGTGTCGTACAGCTCTAACACTGAGAGAGTGTCGTACCGCTCTGACACTGAGAGAGTGTCGTACAGCTCTGACACTGAGAGAGTGTCGTACAGCTCTGACACTGAGAGAGTGTCGTACAGCTCTGACACTGAGAGAGTGTCGTACAGCTCTAACACTGAGAGAGTGTCGTACAGCTCTGACACTGAGAGAGTGTCGTACAGCTCTAACACTGAGAGAGTGTCGTACCGCTCTGACACTGAGAGAGTGTCGTACAGCTCTAACACTGAGAGAGTGTCGTACAGCTCTAACACTGAGAGAGTGTCGTACAGCTCTAACACAGAGAGTGTCGTACAGCTCTGACACTGAGAGAGTGTCGTACAGCTCTGACACTGAGAGAGTGTCGTACAGCTCTAACACTGAGAGCGTGTCGTACAGCTCTAACACAGAGAGTGTCGTACAGCTCTAACACTGAGAGCGTGTCGTACAGCTCTAACACAGAGAGTGTCGTACAGCTCTGACACTGAGAGAGTGTCGTACAGCTCTGACACTGAGAGAGTGTCGTACAGCTCTAACACTGAGAGCGTGTCGTACAGCTCTAACACAGAGAGTGTCGTACAGCTCTAACACTGAGAGAGTGTCGTACAGCTCTAACACTGAGAGAGTGTCGTACAGCTCTGACACTGAGAGAGTGTCGTACAGCTCTGACACTGAGAGAGTGTCGTACAGCTCTGACACTGAGAGAGTGTCGTACAGCTCTAACACTGAGAGAGTGTCGTACAGCTCTGACACTGAGAGAGTGTCGTACAGCTCTGACACTGAGAGAGTGTCGTACAGCTCTGACACTGAGAGAGTGTCGTACAGCTCTAACACTGAGAGAGTGTCGTACAGCTCTAACACTGAGAGAGTGTCGTACAGCTCTGACACTGAGAGAGTGTCGTACAGCTCTAACACTGAGAGAGTGTCGTACAGCTCTGACACTGAGAGAGTGTCGTACAGCTCTGACACTGAGAGAGTGTCGTACAGCTCTAACACTGAGAGAGTGTCGTACAGCTCTAACACTGAGAGAGTGTCGTACAGCTCTGACACTGAGAGAGTGTCGTACAGCTCTAACACTGACAGAGTGTCGTACAGTACTGAGAGAGTGTCTACAGCTCTAACACTGAGAGAGTGTCGTACAGCTCTCTAACACTGAGAGAGTGTCGTACAGCTCTGACACTGAGAGAGTGTCGTACAGCTCTGACACTGAGAGAGTGTCGTACAGCTCTAACACTGAGAGAGTGTCGTACAGCTCTGACACTGAGAGAGTGTCGTACAGCTCTGACACTGAGAGAGTGTCCTACGTACAGCTCTAACACTGAGAGTGTCGTACAGCTCTGACACTGAGAGAGTGTCGTACAGCTCTGACACTGAGAGAGTGTCGTACCGCTCTGACACTGAGAGAGTGTCCTACAGCTCTGACACTGAGAGAGTGTCGTACAGCTCTGACACTGAGAGAGTGTCGTACAGCTCTAACACTGAGAGAGTGTCCTATGTACAGCTCTTTTAAAGCTCAAATGAAAAATTGGTTCTGGTCAAACTAAACGTGTCTCATGTTTAGTTTCATTGTATTTTTAATTGATCTTCTGTGGACACATATCTGCATGTGTTTAATGTTTGGCCAAATTGACTGCAGAATAATGGGAATGACTGGACTGTGCAATATTTTATTGTTTGGCCCCTGTGACTCCAGCCCTTTGGGACAACAAATGGAAATTAGTCTTAGGCCACAATCCAGCGTGTTTATATTCATGTTGTGTCATGTTTGTTCATTAACATGCTCTGTCCCAATCAAATAAATAAATTAATTAATTAAGGAAAATTGTTCTGCACTTTGCACTAATGTGAGTCAGTATAGTCACATTTTCATTGTGTTTTGGTCATTTTTAAGCAGCTTTTCTGTATTTTACTAAAACAAATGCCAATTTATGGCTCTCTTTACTGTTGGCAGGGATCAGATTGGTCCAAAATCGTGACACCTGGGACATTTCTTGTATAAAACTGGGACATATCACTGGTTTTGTATAAATCTGCTGGGTCAGGGGACACAGGGCTTAAAATCTGGTCACCCTAATTTTGTGTTTGCACAAGAGGAGCAGTCAGGACAGGTCAGGATAAACGTGGGGAAACAGTGCATTAGAACTATTAATAAGTGCAATTAATATTTTGTGTTAAGCGTTAATATTTTTGACAGTCTCTACTGAAAATAAAATGTAGCCCAAACAGTGTTGCCCAGTACTTTAACAACCCAGAAAAGTGTAATACATTTTATTTTCTGTCTTGCTGTGGACAGGAAATGACCTATAGCTTATAAAATCACTGAAGTATTTGCAGTAGGTAAATGTACATAAATTAGCTCTGGTTTAGTAATATGGCTTTTATTCTTCTCTTTCCAGGCTCAAGGGGGCGCTCTGAAGCTGGTGTTGTACCAGTATAAGACCTGTCCGTTCTGCAGTAAAGTCAGAGCGTTTTTGGACTACCACGGGCTTCCGTACGAGATCGTGGAGGTGAATCCCGTCATGAGGAAAGAGATCAAGTGGTCCACGTACAGAAAAGTGCCTATTCTCATGGTCGACGAAGAAGTGGTGAGGAGCAACTCTGTCCTGAGGTTTTTTTTTAATATTTTAGCTGTATTCTGGGTCTGGAGTGTACAACTACCAGAGTAAACAATCTTAAAGTTGCACAATGTAATAGGGTTGGGCGATATTCATTTTTTTATGTTGTCTCCTAATTACACAGTTATAGACAGTATTATCAGTATTATCTACTACTAAGGAAAATCTGCATTAAGTTTAGATTTTTCCTTAAACGCAGTGGGAAAAATAGATCAAATAACACACGTTTATTAAGGAACAATGTGGATTTAGCCGATTTAAATGCAAAATAGATCATTAATTGTACAAGGCATCGTCTCTCTACCCTCCAACATTTGGAGACATACACATGACAATTCTAAATTTAGTGCAGATTTGCCTTAAGTACATGGACAGACGTGTGACTGTGTGATGTAACCGTGAACAGTCCATAGACACCTTGCTCTGCTTTTTAAATTTTTTTCTATGTGAAACTCAAAACCAAACAAAAACAGAAGTAAATGTGTGAAATTGTGCCTGTAAGTAATGTTGGAGGGTTGATTGTGAAACTTAATGCACAAATACGCATTGAGAAAGTGCATGATTCTTTTCGAGTGACACACAAAACTCTGCGTGCGTCATGGCCACACCATGGATCTATAATAAAAACCGGATAAGGCGTTACCCCTTTGTCCCAACTCGAGATCGACTAGTGTCTGCTCCAGGTTCTGCAGCTTCCGGGAGCTTGGGCCCAGAAAGAATTCATTTTTTGGGAATTCAAACTGCCCTGTGTTCTGCTGAGAGGGCATCCACAACTTTCACAGAGGTCGGATTTTGTAGGATTCTTTTCTATTTTTCACAACATAAACTTTTTGAAATGTTTAAATCTTCAAAGCTTCTAAAAGTGATCTTTGTCAGACTGTGCCTCGCCGCTCTGAGGTCACGCTCGCTCCGCTCTAGCAGATCTTTGGGCCCATGTGCCAGTAAGCGCAGACCACTGAAAACAGCACGACGCATCTTGGGCTCATCTTCAGATTTTATTATAGAGGGTGTCCCAAAAAAATTGACATAATTTTAAAAAGAATTCTCTTGAAAACTACTAAGTCTAGCTCAATGATGATGATGTTGATGGTCTACCAGATCCTTTAACCCTGCATAAGCACCTTCCTCTTTAAAGTTTTGGTACCAAGTCCAATTCTTTTTTTTGCCAGTTGGTGAAGTTTTTCCAAATACTGCATTAGAGCTGCACAGTTTTGGATGAGTGTGTGTGAGCAGATTCCAAGACACGGAATGACTTCTCTTTGGGAGTGAACGGCTCAACCTGAAAACGGAACAAAAATAAAACATTCGATATAAATTTTGACCTGTTTCTACATTCTGTTTAAATTTGTGGTTATTTCAACAAGAATTACCAAAATTACTGGCCTGCAAAATGATGTCAGATTTTTTGGGACACACTGTAGTTGTAAGGTCCACACGGCCAAACTAACACTGTACTTTAGTTTTTGTTTTAAAGCACAAATGGACACACGGTATTGACACTTTTTCAGTACCGCAGTTTACAAAATTATCGACGCATCACCCAACTCTTCTACGTAAATGTTTGTTTTTTTTTATTTGTCTTCTTGGAGATGGTTATTGATGTGACTAGAATGTGTCCCGCATTATGGTATTAACGTGTCTATCTCCATGGAGACAAACGGGCGACACCACCAGCTCCAGTTACAGGTCAGATCTGTGGAGTCACCTGCCTGCTCAATGTAAAAATGTATGTTTTTCCACTAAAAAAGTTACGTAGTGCGACTTTAAGAAGGTGTCTCGGACTCTTCTTCTCACTAAACTAATCTGACTTTATATTGTATTATATTGCCTATATATGTTATTATATAAAATTTCTCTCTCTATTTTTTTTTTTTTTGCAGCAATTGAACGACTCCTCTGTCATCATCAGCTCAATCAAGACTCACCTCATCTCCAAGTAAGACCAAACTCCACTGTAATATTTTCCTAGGAGAATGAGAAGATTTATCACATATTTCAGATCATAACTGGTATCTTGGTTGCAGAAAAGTAACGTATCTCTTTTTAATGTTACATAAATAAATAAATAAATGTTAAGAAATGACTCCAGACGCAGGTGAAGAGATGCTTGATTAGAAGTTTATAAGAATGCTTCAGTTTACACTCTCAGCTTCACATGAGACGTGTTACGGAAAAAATTATGTATCTCTTGATGATAAATAATTGATTCATTTGCGAAGCCCGGTGAGTTTTTGGAATACAGGTAAAGGTTTCTTCTTCTTGTCTTGCCTGCCCTGGCCAGAGACCAACAATCTCTCCCCAGTCTCCTCTCTCCTGTCACCCCTTCTCTCCATCTCCTGAGTGTCTCCTCCCAGAGCCACAGAGCATCTGCCCCAGAACATCTGAGATCTGAATATTTATACAGAAATACAACTTACATACATATCAAAGCAGAGTGACATTTGTTTCCCAGACCTGTAACTTACATTTGAGGACAGCTAAAGACTGAATTGTAGTTCCTCGGATGGGGACAGTTGTGTCTCCTGAGTCTTTACACATGTTCATGACTGATCTGTTCTCAGGTAGAAATCACATTCATTCACCAGGGTTTTAAAAGTCTTGAAAAGGTCTTAAATTTCAATTAAGGCCTCAACAAGTTTTAAATTTTGTTGTCCAAGTCTTTTTTTTTCACAAAGATCTTAAATTTCATTAGCCTATTTTTTGTTTACTCAACCAGGCTGCAGTGCGATGTTAAACAGAGGGAGGAAAAAAAACCCGTTTGACATGATAATGTGTTTAAGGCAGATTTGCACAAGTCTCACAGAAACAAAACTTAAAACCACATGGCTCATTTGTATAAACTAAGCGAAGAAAAAAAAAATCGCTCTTGTGTCGCTGATGTGGTTCAGCTTCTACTAAAGGACACGACTCAGTGGAATATGAGTGTTCTTTCTGTGACAGAAGGATGTTGATGCTGAAGGTGAGTCTGTTCTGTGTCTGTGTCGCGATGTTTTCACAGATCAGACATGTGCAGGTTTATCGCAGATGCGGCGAAAACGGGAATGAAAATTAGGCTACAATTGTTTGCGGGAGCGAGCGGAGCAGGACTGCACAGTGCGAGACTGTGTCCTAACAACACAAAAAAACAGATTTTATAATAAGGCAACTCACATACAGAAACAGTAAAGTTAGAGATTAAAAATAAGATTAACACGATTAAAAAAACATAACGCGCTAAATATGACTGTAATTAATTGCAATTAACATGATAATTTGACACTTTTAAAAAAACTTGAATTAAACGTGAATGAACATAACTTGAATGAACGTTTAGTTTGGAGTATGCACAAGCAGTATTTTAGTTTCTGGCACCGGCGGCAAAGAGTAAACAAACAGTAGAGTGGAGGAAGACGTTGGATGGATCATGAGGAAGTGTAGTTTTAATCCACAATGTTTTTCGCCGCATAACGGGTGCGATGTTGGTCTTAATTTTCATTTAAGTGGTCTTAAAAAGGTCTTAAAAAAAATCTTAAATTTGGGCAAACCTAGGAATACTCTATTTACACGAAGACAATTTGAGAGAAATCTTTCCACAATATAAATTTCCATCACAGACGACACACATATAAATCTTTATGCTAATGAGAGTAAAGGGGCGTGTCTGTGTAAATACAGGAGCTCTAAATTCAGCAGCAGATAAACTATTTTAAGAACGTGACACTGGAGAGAGACGTGAGGTCCTCGTCAGACTCTGGAGTCACCGGAGAGTCCACGGCTCAGTTACAACGAAGTTAAACACAGATCCAGGTCCACACGAACGACTCACTGTGACTTTTAACACACAGAAAGAACAACAATTCAACTATAAGACTGGTTTATAAAATTATCCTTTCACTTACTTACATTACATACTATTATTTATTTGTTCAAGTTTTATTCAGAAAGTAGTGTTCGCTTTGAAACATCTCTCTGAAGTGTCTCTTCTGTCCAAGTTCTCATTTTATTTGTGTACTTTTTTTTACACCCACAGCTCCCTGTTCACTGCCTTATCTTTAAATGTTTATTCATTTTTGCACGACTCGGCAAAATCCCCCTGGACGCACAATTGGACAGGAAGTACTGAAACTAACAGCTTGTAACGGAGCATATTACACTATAATTAGCCTGCTGTATTTATTTATTTATTTATTTAACATAATAAATATACAGATACTAAGGCAGGGGATAAATATAACTGGGAATGTCAAAATTAGGAGGAAAAAATAGAAATGTACTTAAAGGGCCCGTCTCATGCAGAATCAACTTTCCAGAGCTTTCTTCCTTCTCAGAGTGATGTGTGGGCCTTGTATTTGTCGCCCAAGTGGTTTTTAGATTGATTCTGCGTTTTTTTAAACAAATTGCAGCGTATTTCTGCCTCCCACGTGACAACGAACTAAAGCTGCTACAACGATGACGCGGCAGATACACCTATGACACGTTTGACGTAACAGAAAACACTTCGCTGAACCAGTTATGATCCAGGGACTGAGACCGGGACTGAGACCGGGACTGAGACCGGGACTGAGACCGGGACTGAGACCGGGACTGAGACCGGACTGAGGCCAGAGACCAGACCGGGACCAGACCGGGACCAGACCGGAGGCTCAGAGCCCACTGTAAGGCCGGAGCTTGAAGCTGAGACTCGGACCCCGCTGAGGCTCAGAGTCAAAGCTCGGAGTCCGCCGTGGTCCTGGTCTGGTCCTGGTCTGGTCTTCGGTCTCAGTCCTGCTCTGGTCCCGGTCTCAGTCCTGCTCTGGTCCCGGTCTGGTCCCGGTCTGGTCTCGGTCTCAGTCCTGCTCTGGTCCCGGTCTGGTCCCGGTCTGGTCCTGGTCTGGTCCCGGTCTCAGTCCTACTCTGGTCCCGGTCTGGTCCCGGTCTGGTCCCGGTCTGGTCCCGGTCTGATCCCGGTCTGATCCCGGTCTGGTCCCGGTCTGATCCCGGTCTGGTCCCGGTCTGGTCCCGGTCTGGTCCCGGTCTGGTCTACTCTGGTCCCAGTCTACTCTGGTCCCGGTCTGGTCCCGGACCTGGATCAGTCCTGGTTCAGTCCGTACGCGGTGCCAAAGTTCGGCATCGCAGTCACAGGAGTCACGTAAACGGGAAACGTCTGTTATCCTTTTTTTCCATTTTTCATTTAAACACAAAATCGAAAACTGAAAAAATGAATCATTATCTGTTTTTTCATTTTGGTTTTGGAGACAAATAATGAAGAAAACTGTTGCTTTTTCATTTTCTTATTTTTGGTTTGATATTGAAAAACGAATGAACGAATGACACACGGATTCACCTCAAAGTCCTCGTCCGATTCCGGGTCCAACACATGCGGCTGAACGCGCTGTATCTCCATGATGAATAAAAGTTTATTCCTGCCGCTATCAGGGCGCACGTCTGTCTCCCCCTCCCTCCCTGAGATGAGCGGAGGAAGGGCGGCTCACTCAGAGTCTGCGTCACGTTTGGAGGGCGGAGCCTGTGCTTTCTCAGGACGGGCGGGGGGAGGAGCAATAGTTGGACTTTCATAGTTCCTGGTCTGTGACTGTCTCCAAGAAATCAGTAAGATTTCATAACTATTGTGTAATGGATGTTCCAAAACCCAAATTGTGCTTGTTTATGTTCATACAATGTGAAAAGTTATTTTGCATGAGATGGGCTCTTTTCCTGTAGATATTGTATGTTTTATAGCTTTTTTTCTCTTTTAGCTGTAGTTCTGTCTTTAATAATAATAATAACAGATTGTGATGTTTGTGTTTTCGCAGGGATAAGTCCGTGTCGGAGATTATTCGCTGTTATCCCGAGTTGAAGTCCAAAAACGACAGTGGGAAAGAGGTGGTGGAGTATATGAACAAATACTGGCTGATGCTGAGTGAGGCCGACACGCTGCTCATGTACCCAGAGAAAGGCATGCAGAAGTGAGATACGTTTTGTTACACTTTTCTACGACTCCCTCCTCATTCTTTTTGTCTCGGATAGTTTCAGTGTGTTAAAGTTTCGAAGGGGCTAAACATGTCATGAGCTACATGTATAAGTGCATGATATTGTTATAAATCCAAAGACAACAGTTGAACATTGCATTTTGTCTGCACTTGCACAAACTATGTTCCTCCTCAAACTCACAAAAGAAATTTAAAGTTACTTAAATATCAATCTTTAAACAATTTACGTAATTTTGCAAAACCATTTAAAAAGCATTTGGATACTAAGATGAAGAGATTAACACATCCAAGCATCATTTTCAGTTTGGTATTAAACCTTTCTATCTTCTATCTTCATGGAGACAACACCAGACCAAGTTACAGGTCAGATCTGTGGAGAGGCGACACCGCTCACAGTCAGAATGTCTGTTTTTCTAGGTATTTTTGAGCTTTAAAACCACCTGGAATTGAATAAATGTCAAGTAGATCTGTTTAGTGTCATAATTGCGACATTTACATGAGAGCTTTAATTCGGAATAAAAATAATTTAATTGAGAATATAAATTGGTCCAGGATCCTGCTGAGACTCAAAAATGGGGAGTACTGGGAGAGGAGATAAGAGTTTGTGTCCATGAGAACAAAACAAGATGAGATTTTAACATAATCAGTTTCCAATTTTGGCCTCACATTTTTATTTATTTATTTGATTTCATATTTTTGTTTCCATTCTAGCATGACTTTTTGGAAATATGTGCACTTTAACTCACAAACACGTGAACATTTTTTGTCCAATCCAAATGTAAAACAAATCATTTTCTTTCTTTCTTTCCATGGAGATGTTATTGCTTTGTATATATCTTCATGGAGACCAAACCAGACAAAGTTATAGGTGTCAGATCTGTGGAGAGGAGACCCCACTCACAGTCAGAATTCCTGTTTTTCTAGGTATTTTTGAGCTATAAAACCACTTGTAATTGAATAAATGTTAGGTCAAGCTGTTTAATGTCATACTGTGGAACATTCTGGGCACAGCTGTGACATATCCATAGAAACAAGCAGGTGTTGTTATTACCTCTGCCAAGGAGGTTATGTTTTTGCCGGCGTTTGTCTATTTGTTTGTTTGTCTATTTGTTTGGTTGTTTGTTTGTTTGTCTGTCAGCAACATAACTCAAAAAGTTATGGACCGATTTTGATGAAATTTTCAGGATTTGTTGGAAATGTGAAAAGGAAGAACTCAATTTCATTTTGGGGCTGATCCGGAAGAAATCCTGGATTCTGGATCACTTTGAAATTTTAGTTAACATTGTGGTAAATGGGGCCAAAAATTTTGTTTCTCAATATCTCGGTTAATTATTGACCAAACCCCATGAAATTTGACTCAGGGATGGACAATGGGATCCTCTTTCATATTCCAAAGGCTGATCCGGATCTGATCCAGAAGACTGATTTTATCGCAATTTATATAAAAAATGGGGGTAGTCCTTGGCGGAGGTCTGCGCTCTCTGAGTGCTTTTCTAGTTATTATATGCTTTTATTGTGAAGTATTTGACTATATACTTCCTGCTGCAGAGAGGAGATGAAGTGGCGTCAGTGGGCGGACGACTGGCTGGTGCACCTGATCTCTCCAAACGTGTACAGGACCACGGGCGAGGCGCTGGCGTCCTTCGACTACATCGTACGAGAGGGAAAGTTCGGCTCCTTCGAGGGATTCTTCGCCAAATACGTGGGAGCGGCGGCCATGTTCATCATCTCCAAACGACTCAAGAACAGGTACGAGAGGTTTGAAGCAGATTTCATTTTGAATTGGACAAGGGTTTTTCATTTCTGACACTGATATTGATCCTTTGTCTTTATGTATCTGCTGACATCCAGTTTAAATAATATCAGTGTGGTATTTTCCCTCAAAACAGTTAACTTAATACTAAACTGATTGTTATGTGTCCTGCAATAACTACTAAAGTTCAAACCTCATGAGGCTACATCAGTCAGTAAAGAGTCCAGCAGGATATTGACCAAACCGATATTATGGAATATTTATGGAATATTCCTGGATCTGCGCCGATATTCGATACCAGTATCGGTGCATCTGTAGTAACGACTTGTGAACTTGTGATTTTTCAGACACAACCTCCAGGACGACGTGAGGCAGGATTTGTACAAAGCGGTGAATGACTGGATCGCAGCCATCGGCAAACAACGCAAGTTTATGGGAGGAGACCGACCGAACCTCGCAGACCTGGTGAGACTCAGAGAACTGAACCTTTTGTGAACAGTGAAGTTTAAATCATGATGGATTTTAAACCGAATCATCAAGTTTTTCTAATAGAATTTACAAATTAGAAATAATTCTAATTCTGTAAGTAAAATTCCCATTAACAGATTTTATTTTGTCATATATATTTGTTTATTTCATTCCTAAAATATAAAAAGATATTAACATTATAACATTCATAGTCATAACATTAAACATACAAGAAATGAATGAAAAGGAGCAGAAAGAAAGAAGAAATCTTATGTTATCTGCCCCGTTTTCCCTTTTCTAAACAATACTGAGAGTTACATTAAAACAAAAATATTTCAAATACAGACTTCAAATATTAAGAAAATTTAAAGTCATGACAGAGGCTGATCAGCTCATATTAAACATTTTTAAAATATTAAAACTTTACAGTTTATCAGAGTTTCAATATATTTTCTAGTTGAACTTCATTGAACTGGTTTGTGAAGATGCAGTGCCCCCTGGTGTTGAGAGTTCAGAATACACAAAGTGTAAATTATTTAATATTTAGACATTTTAAAGTGCAATATTGATTTTAAACTCCATCACAACGAAGTGCCACTCTGCTGGACCGTGCTGTGAGCGCCCCCTATGGACAGAGAGTTCAGTTCACAGTAGCAAGTATGATCTTGCTATGCTTCCGAATCCTACATCCTATAAATAACAAAATCACACAAAAAATATAAAAATTTAAATCACAAAAAACCTAAAAAAAAAAAAAAAACTAAAAAAAACCCCAAAAAACACACACACACAAAAAAATTAAAAAAAAAAAAAGACAAAATAGCTAAAAAAATTTTTAAAAAAAAAATCACAAAAAAACCTGAAAAAAATCCTCACAAAAAATCTAAAAAAATATAATAATAATAATAATAATAATAATAATAATAATAATAATCACAAAATATCTAGGAAAATTTTTTTTTTTTTTTAATCTAAAAAAAAAAATCACAAAAAAATTGGAGAATGAAGTAAGAACTGGGGGGAGCGTGTGGAAAGTAGCGAGAAATGGTCATGTGAATGTTTGGGTAATTTTTTTTTAAATTTTCAAATGTACACAAACATGCTTTAATCACTCTAAATACAACTTTGATAGTGTAAATGAAAAGTGGGAACATTTGTAATTATTAAGTAAATTTTGCATGATTATATCCCCTTTATGTTGGTCGTCCAAGTAGAATCCACACCAGAGGATCCTGTATCTCCTTTTTGGATTTATCCTGTGTTGTGTTTTAGTTGATGTGAGTTCCAGACTTACTTTTCCCGTCTTTTTCTCTTCTCTTCAGTCGGTGTACGGCGTCCTGCGTGTGATGGAGGGACTGCAGGCGTTCGACGACATGATGAAAAACACCAAAGTCAAACACTGGTACAAACGAATGCAAAGGGCCACACAGAACCACGAGGGCAGACAGTGAAAACGACTAAAGACTGGCTCGTTCACACGTTCACTCGACGTCAAAACTCAAGTCTGATCCAGTAACGCAAAGAGACACAAAACTCCACGATACGGTTTCGAAATAACGGTAAAAATAGTAAAAATGGTTGAAATGACTTGAATTTTGCGTATTAAAAGTGCATCGTTTAACGCTTTTCTCCATGAAGATGTTATTGCTTTGTCTGGAATATTTCACAGTATGGCATTAAACCTTTCTATCTCCATGGAGACCAAACTAGACCAAGTTACAGGTCAGATCTGTGGAGAGGCGACCCCGCTCACAGTCAGAACGTCTGTTTTTCAAGGTATTTTTGCATTAAACCACCTGTAATTGAAGAAATGTAAAGTAGAGCTGCTTAATACGGAGCCCGCCTGATGACATGTGCGAAAAAAGATAATAAATCGTGGCCAATTAATATTTTCAAATTACTATATCAGATTACTATTACTACGAATTACCACAATATGTAATTCGTTCCCACATTTTAGCTAAAACGTGGAAACGAGTTAATTAAAACGTGGAAACGAGTTAATTAAAACATGGAAACGAGTTAATTAAAACATGGTAACGAGTTAATTAAAACATGGTAACGAGTTTGCCAAAACGTAGGAACGAATTGGCTAAAACGTGGAGACGAATGAATGAAAATGTGGGAACGAGTTCGCCAAAACGTGGGAACAAATTGGCTAAAACGTGGAGACGAATGAATGAAAATGTGGGAACGAGTTCGCCAAAACGTGGGAACAAATTGGCTAAAACGTGGAGACGAATGAATGAAAATGTGGGAACGAGTTCACCAAATCGTGGGAACGGCTGCACTAAAACGTGGAGACGAATTAATGAAAACGTGGGAATGAGTTCACTAAAATGTAGGAATGAGTTAACTAAAACGTGGGATCAAGTTCGCTAAAATGTAGGAACGAATTAACTAAAACATGAGAACGAATTCACCAAAACGTGGGAATGAATTAGCAAAAACGTGGGAACAAATTAACTAAATCGTGAGGACGAATTAACAAAGACGTAGGATTGAGTTACATATTGTGGTAACGAAATAGTAATTTGAGGCCATGATTTAATATCTTTTTTTCGAGCACGTCATCAGACGGGCTCCGTAGTTTAATGCCATAATGTGGAACATAACGGACAGAGAAATTATTTCCAGATCGGAACCAGCCAGAAATGTCATTAAAGATGAAGTATTAAGCAAAAACGACTCTGAAATCAACACCCAAGCACGTTTCAGTCATTTAGGACGACAACTGACGCGACAAGTTCACCATGAATTTTTAAAAACATGATACAAAACTTTACAAAACAACTTGACAAACCTGATTCGATGTGTAATAGATTCATTTGCGACATTCACGTTGATTATGTGGCAACGACGCTCTGAAGGGGGTGGTGACTTAGGCCAGGGAGGAAAAACGAAAACATGGCGATCATAGCTTCCTGGGAATTTCTTTTTGTCAAAACTTTCGAGTAAGTTATAATTAAGTAAGTAACTCAACCTGACACCAGTCGACCATGTTACAGGTCAGATCTGTGGAGTCTCTCACAACTGGGTAAGTTTAATGCCATACTGTGGAGCATTTCAGGCGTAACATCGCCACGGAGACAACAACAATGGTCAGAAAAACCCACGTTCAAGTCGTTTTTAGTGTTTTACAAATGACACTTTCATCTTATAACTGCCCCTCTGAAATTCTGAAATAAAGGAGATTTTTTGGCATTTTTATTTTTTATTTTTTTGAACGTCTGACAAAAGCAATTACTGAAAAACAAAATAATGAAGTAATAAAAAAGTGTGTGGACTCATTAAGACCATGAGGTGTTAGAAAATAATAATTAAAAGTAAAGTGTAATTTAATAATAATAAACCAGGTCCAAACCAGAACTAAACCAGGTCCAAACCAGAACTAAACCAGGTCCAAACCAGGTCCAAACCAGAACTAAACCAGGTCCAAACCAGAACTAAACCAGGTCCAAACCAGAACTAAACCAGGTCCAAACCAGGTCCAAACCAGGTCCAAACCAGAACTAAACCAGATCCAAACCAGATCCAAACCAGGTCCAAACCAGGTCCAAACCAGAACTAAACCAGGTCCAAACCAGAACTAAACCAGGTCCAAACCAGGTCCAAACCAGAACTAAACCAGGTCCAAACCAGAACTAAACCAGGTCCAAACCAGAACTAAACCAGGTCCAAACCAGGTCCAAACCAGGTCTAAACCAGGTCCAAACCAGGTCCAAACCAGAACTAAACCAGGTCCAAACCAGGTCCAAACCAGATCCAAACCAGAACTAAACCAGGTCCAGGTCAGGTCTACATCTGTACTAAACCAGGTCTAGCATTAGGATAGCACTTTTAAAAAAATATTTACCAAGTTCTAATCAGTGAAGCATAAGTTACGTCAATGTCAAAGTGTCTTGCTCAAGGACACAACAACAGTTAAATTAGTGAGTTGTCTGTACAAATGTTTGGCTGAAATCGTTTTGATTTCTGAAGTTGAAGTTTGTTGAAGATCTGAGGAGGAGTTTCTCTGAATGTTCATTTTGCAACAAAAGTGTAAAAATGTTGTACAAAGATAAAATAAAAATAAAAATAAAAACAAAAGATGATGGTTGTTTATTTTGTCATGAATAAAAGGTTTTGTGGTGGAAGAGCGTCTGTTTTTAAAATTAAACACTGATAATAAATAATAAGAATTTTATGCACACACCACATAAACACTCACTGACGGTTTATTTTTTACTTTATTTACTAAATAACTAAAACAGGATTAAAATGGATCCAAACCAGGACTAAACCAGACCTAAACCAGGACTAAACCAGGTCCAAACTAGAGCTACATCTGTACTAAACCAGGATTAAACCAGGACTAAACCAAGACTAAATCAGGACTAAACCGGGACTAAACCAGGACTGAACCAGGTCTAAACCAGGAATAAACCAGACCTAAACCAGGATTAAAAGAGGACTAAATCAGGACTAAACCAGGTCTAAACCAGGACTAAATCAGGACTAAACCAGGTCTAAACCAGGACTAAACCAGACCTAAACCAGGACTAAATCAAGACTAAACCAGGACTGAACCAGGTCTAAACCAGGACTAAACCAGGACTAAACCAGGTCTAAACCAGACATAAATCAGGACTAAATCAGGACTAAACCGGGACTAAATCAGGACTAAACCAGGTCTAAACCAGGACTAAACCAGGTCTAAACCAGAACTAAATCAGGACTAAACCAGGATTAAACCAGAAATAAACCAGGACTAAACCAGACCTAAACCAGACATAAACCAGGACTAAACCGGGACTAAATCAGGACTAAACCAGGTCTAAACCAGGACTAAACCAGACATAAACCAGGAATAAACCAGGACTAAACCGGGACTAAATCAGGACTGAACCAGGTCTAAACCAGGACTAAACCAGGAATAAACCAGACCTGTTCAGTACAGTGACATTCGGTTACTGTGGTGCGTGAGAAAAGTTCCAGGGTGGATCTTTAAGTCCCAGACGGGTCGGATGATCCGGTGATGATCCGGTGTTGAATAAAGTGCAGCGGAGTCTTGTACAAACATGTTTATTTGTGGTGATGATGTGAGTTTTACACAGAACACGGCGCTGAGTTCAGGATGAACATGGACAGAACATTCGTGTGATTACATTTGTATATTTAGGACGTTTGGACAAAAGCAGCGTCGACACGAGAGCCACACACGGCAACGATTCTGTTCACAACCTCAGACCCAGAGGAAGAGAAAGACCCAAGAGTCCGGACACGCTCGACTCTTTCAATAAAGTCACATCTGGGTTCAGTGACGATCCCGACCACAAGGGGGCGCCACAGATCCAAATATGACTCAAAGAACATCTGGACTAAAAAAAGGACTAAAACAGTTCTAAACCAGATCCAAACCAGGACTAAAAACAGGACTAAACCAGGACTAAACTAGACCTAAACCAGGACTAAAAACAAGACTAAATCAGGACTAAACCAGACCTAAAGCAGGACTAAAAACAAGACTAAATCAGGACTAAACCAGACCTAAACCAGTTCTAAACCAGATCCAAACCAGGATTAAACCAGGATTAAACCAAGATTAAACCAGGATTAAACCAAGACTAAACCAGGATTAAACCAGGACTAAACTAGTTCTAATCCAGGACTAAACTAGGACTGAAAGAGGACTAAAACAGGACTAAAGCAGGATTAAACCAAGACTAAACAGCACCTAAACCAGGACTAAACCAGGATTAAACCAGGAGTAAACCAGACCTAAACCAGATCCAAACCAGGACTAACCAGGACTAAACTGGTACTAAACCAGACCTAAACCAGGATTAAACCAGGACTAAGACAAACCTAAACCAGTTCTATACCAGTCCTAAACCAAGACTAAACCTGGACTAAACTAGACCTAGACCAGGACTAAACCAGGACTATTCAATACAGTGACATTTTGTTACAGTGGTGGATCCCGAGCACAAGGGGGCGCCAGAGATCGTGACATAAGAACGATAAAGGAAACACGACCCCAAACCTCCCACAAATAAACACAACAGGGTTCACTCTTGGTTCTGGTTTAAGGTCAGGTTTAGTCCTGCGTGTAGACTTGGTTTAGTTCTGGTCTAGTCCAGGTTTAGTCTCAGTGGTTTAGAGTCAGTTTTGGACAATAGTTGTAACTGGTTGAACATTATTTTTTAGCTTTGGGGTAGTTCCAAACTTTGACCAGAAGGGGGCAGTACATCTCAGTAGATTCTGTACCATTGTGGGATTTAAAGGGCGCGAGTTTCTTTACAAAACGATGGAAAGGCTCAGTTGGTAGAGCGTTTGTCCACTCATCAGAAGGTTGCTGGTTCAGATCCCACTCTCAAAAAAAAAAAAAAAAAAAAAAAGTTTGATTCTATAACGGTTTTGTCCGTATGAAATCAGCTGTTTTCAAGGAATTTCCCCTATGAGCCATCTCAGATTTGGCTGAAATAAAAAAAATAAAAAAATCTAAAATGACTAAATGAAAGAAACGAAAATTTTAGCTCAATCCCTTCAGTCGTTGCTGAATTATGGCTCATTGAAATTTTGGGGCCATGTTAACTTTTTTTGAAGCCTTAATGAATAAACATGTTTGAGAGACCAGAACTTCATCAAAAATAGAGCTAAGAAGCAGAAAATTTGTGTTATTGTAGACTTGAAGCAAGACTGAACCAGGGACTTGAACCAGGGACTGAACCAGGAACTAAACCAGGGACTTGAACCAGGGACTTGAACCAGGGACTGAACCAGGGACTTGAACCAGGGACTTGAACCACGGACCAAACTAGGGATGAACCAGGGACTTGAACCAGGGACCAAACTAGGGATGAACCAGGGACTTGAACCAGGGACCAAACTAGGGATGAACCAGGGACTTGAACCAGGGTCTTGAATCAGGGACTTGAACCACGGACCAAACTAGGGATGAACCAGGGACTTGAACCAAGACTGAACCAGGGACTTGAACCACGGACCAAACTACGGAAGAACCAGAGACTTGAACCAGGGACTTGAACCAGGGACTTGAACCAGGAACTGAACCAGGGACCAAACTAGGGATGAACCAGGAACTAAACCAGGGACTTGAACCAGGGACTGAACCAGGAACTGAACCAGGGACTTGAACCAGGGACTTGAACCAGGGACTTGAACCATGGACCAAACTAGGGATGAACCAGGAACTAAAGCAGGGACTTGAACCAGGGACTGAACCAGGAACTGAACCAGGGACTTGAACCAGGGACTTGAACCAGGGACTTGAACCAGGGACTGAACCAGGAACTAAACCAGGGACTTGAACCAGGGACTTGAACCAGGGACTTGAACCAGGGACTTGAATCAGGGACTTGAACCAGGGACCAAACTAGGGATGAACCAGGGACTTGAACCAGGGACTTGAACCAGGGACTTGAACCATGGACCAAACTAGGGAAGAACCAGGGACCTGAACCAGGGACTTGAACCATGGACCAAACTAGGGAAGAACCAGGGACCTGAACCAGGGACTTGAACCAGGGACTTGAACCAGGGACTGAACCAGGGACCAAACTAGGGATGAACCAGGGACTTGAACCAAGACTGAACCAGGGACTTGAACCACGGACCAAACTACGGAAGAACCAGAGACTTGAACCAGGGACTTGAACCAGGGACTTGAACCACGGACCAAACTACGGAAGAACCAGAACTTGAACCAGGGACTTGAACCAGGGACTGAACCAGGGACTTGAACCAGGAACTGAACCAGGGACTTGAACCAGGGACTTGAACCAGGGACTTGAACCAGGGACTTGAACCATGGACCAAACTAGGGATGAACCAGGAACTAAAGCAGGGACTTGAACCAGGGACTGAACCAGGAAATAAACCAGGGACTTGGAACCAGGGACTGAACCAGGAACTGAACCAGGGACTTGAACCAGGGACTGAACCAGGGAAACTAGGGACTGAACCAGGGACTTGAACCAGGGACTTGAACCAGGGACTTGAACCAGGGACTTGAAACCATGGACCAAACTAGGGATGAACCAGGGACTTGAGTCAGGGACTTGAACCATGGACCAAACTAGGGGAAGAACCAGGGACTTGAACCATGGACCAAACTAGGGAAGAACCAGGGACCTGAACCAGGGACTTGAAACCAGGAACTGAACCAGGGACCAAACTAGGGATGAACCAGGGACTTGAAC